TATTCATTATCATTGTTATCATCCTTATTATCATTGTCATAATCATTACTATTATCATTAATATGGCTATCATTATCACCACTATCACTATCATGAACATTATTATCATTATCATTATCATCATCATCATTATTACAGATATTATTTTTGCTACTATCATCATTACTCTTATTATCATCATTTTGCATCGCCCTCAGGAATGAGCAGGGTTAAAGCGGTTGTAAAGGGAAGTCAAAATCAGGCAATTGAGATGCAGTATTTCCCCTCCCCTTTAGTTACCTCCTCAAGGACAATACTCACGTTTTAGGACGCGTGGAGGTTATATATTTTTTCAAAGAACGCTGTTTTTTTTTTTTTTTTTTGTCATCTTCAACCTCACATCCCCTTTTATAATGATAATATTTACATCAATACGTGGAGCCAAGGACAAAGAGTGTTAACGAAGCCAGAGCTGGTTAACGTTCGGATAATCTGGACGACGCATGGGAACTCCGCAGTCCAATCTTACTGGAGTAGGAAAAATGTATGACGAAGAAGTCTCCTAAAAAAAAAAACATGGGCCGTCTTGTTGTGGTGTGGGGTTTGAGTTCCAAGCTAAATATGTCTCAGGAATCCCCCCCCCCCCCCTTTGCTTCCGGTTGAGTTGGCCTCTCTGCTTAACGGGGCTCAGAGGGGGGGAGGGGGGAGGAGTTGTTCCCGTGTGCTGATCCAGTAGTAGCTGGGTCACACTTTCCCACCAGGGATGTATCTCACCAGGGAGGTGTCACCTAGTACGTGTTGCCGTGCGTGGCATCCCTGTGAGCTGGGAGACATGGGCCCTGGAGGTTGAGCGATTTGTGTGTGTGTGCAACTTGCGGTTAGCAACTCTTCAGCCTCTTCGGCGAATTGGTCCAGCTTTAGGCACGTTAATCAGCTGGTCTCCTTTGCAGCAATCACTGCCTCGTCGACATAGCATAGTCCCGCCGCTGCCTTCGGCTTGTGGGAATAGCTGCGTGTCCCCTCTAACCCCTGCTATTATAGATGGCTACAACACATAGGCTCCCTTTGTTGACACCTTGGTGGGTGGGATGGGATAAAATCAATCATATGATAAAGAACGCAATATTTATTATATATAAAAAAAAAAACAATGCTACCGAGTAAATGAAATGTCGACTCTAGTTTTCTTTTGTGAATTTTGTTTGTACGTAGATGGCTTTGCAAGTGCTCAGCCGTCGATGAGCCCGGATAACAAGATGGGAAAAGGAAGGAGGCCTCTCCCAACAACATCCCTCCCAGACACCTCCACCGGAAGAGTTCCCGCCCGGAGTTCATTTCTGCAAAGGCCTCACTAAGAGAGGAACAGCCCTTTCTCATTGGTGATGTCCCTGTCGACAACAGGAGTAAAAGTAACAACAGTTTTGGGGAAATCTGATGAGGCGGTGAAGGTGGCCCAATTTATGCTGAGGGCACAGTGACCCAAATCATTGAAGCCCTGAATGAGGAAGCCTTGCACGGAGCTAGACCTCTTTAAACTCAGAACGACACTCCCGACCTCATCCCAAGTTAAACCTCAGCCTAAGAGGGGCAAGGAAAAGACGGAGACTGCAAAGATCAGTCTCCCCGGTGACTCTCTGCAGCACGAAGAAAGACCCACTAAGGGGAGGACAGCAAAAAGTCCAATGACGACCCCGCAAATAGGAATATAGCGCAGAGTTCTCCGACTCTAACATACCAGATGCCAATTTGGAGGAGCGTTATGGCACCCATCTAAGCACACTACAGTGGAACATCAGTCCCTTTGTGCTGCCGAGCAAGGACCAGGGTTACTTTTGTTAAGGCATCTACCCCATGTTTCAGGATCATCAGCCCTACTGTGGGAGTCGACCATCTTGCTGTCGAGATCCAATTGGCGGTTTCTACAAGCTAACAACGTGTATAGGAGGCCAGGCTGAAGAAGCTTAGACATCAATGACACTGCGGCACTGGACATTGTCATTATTGGGAGGTATTTAATGACCACCATCCTATCTTATCTCCTGGCAGGGGAACAGATGAGCCAGCCGCCACGTACCCGGAGTGCCTCGGGATCGCATATCACAGGATAAAGAATCAACGCTTGTTAGAAGTGGCTCCTGGACTTCGATTTGCTGCCGTGGCCCTGGTGGAGGGAATGAGATGGACTGTGACCAAGACCTTCACGAGCGATCACCATGGAGTCGCCCTCGCCCTCCTGGATTCTGGTCTATCGCCTGTGCCTCCGCCCACTCCCCGATGGAAGGTGATCTCTGGTCTAGGGAAGACAAGAGGAAAGGAATCGTGAAGGATTCCATGTTTCATATCATATAGAGTTAAGATTATGATGAATATTT